AAGGTGATATTCCAGATTTTGTACAAATTGTACAATCAGCACCGCGTTCGACAAGCATTTTCAATACAATGATGGATGGATTCTCGCTATCGACTGTCTTATACAGCGCCGTCTCCCCTTCTTGATTTTGTAAATTGACGTTAGCACCAGCTTCAAGCACCACCTTCACTGTGTTTGCATTATGCCCTGTACATGCTGCTATCAAAGGCGTATTCCATAATGTGCTTCGATTGATTTGAGCTCCAGCATTTAATAGTTCTTTTACAACATCAACATTTTCCAAATGGCATGCGGCAGTCAGAGGAGTGCTATATTTACCCTGTAAATTAACATCAGCCCCCGCTTCAATCAGTTCCTTTACAATATTTATGCTTCCATACTTACATGATATTATCAGTGGCATATTATCTTCATCAGCATCATGGTGTAAATTGACGTCTGCTCCAGCCTCTATCAACTCCTTCACTACATTCAAATGTCCCCCTTTACATGCAGCTGTCAGTGGAGTGCTATATCTACTCTGTAGTTTGACATCAGCCCCCTTTTTAAGTAATTCTTTCACCACATCTCCGAATCCATTTGTGCACGCAGCTACCAATGGTGTATTATATGCACCCTGTGGATTAACAACTGCTTTTGCATTCAAAAGCTCTTTAACCATTTCTAATTTTCCTCTCTTACAGGCAACTGTCAACGGTGTTTTGTATTTATTTGGTTTCCTTGGATGCCAAGGATTGAAATTGACTTTGGCTCCAAATTTCAGCAATTCCTTCAAAACATCCAATCGTCTACATTTACAAGCAGTAATTAATGGTGTTTTCCATACATACTTTGGATTAACATCAGCCCCTTTTTGAAGCAGTTCTCTCACCATGATCAGATTGCCATTTAGACATGCAGCTGTCAGTGGTGTTGTATGATGATAACCCGGTCCATTCGCTAGGAACCCCGAAATTGTCTCTGGATTGATGTAAATGCCGAAAGAAGATGCGATTAATCGAACCATCTGTATATATTTTAAACGATCAATCCATATTTGCTGTGGATTAACCGAAGCCCCCATTTCAAGAAGATCTCTCACAAGGTTTAAATCTCCATCTAAACAAGCAGCAGTCAGTGGTGTATACCATTCTTTATTGTGTTGATTGATATCAGCACCAGCCTCAATTAGATATTTTATTAAACTTTTATCCTTTTTTCGTCTAACAGAACTTAATAATGGTGTATTCCCATCATCATCTTGCTGGTTGACATCAGCTTTTGCTTCAAGAAGTTCTTTTATTAACGACAAATTTGGATGAATTCTTGAACATGCATTTATCAGTGCTGTACCGGTCAAACGCAATGAATTGACATCGGCCCCAACTCGTAGCAGTTCAATGACTACATCGGAATGATTTTCACGACATGCAGCATTTAATGGTGAATCATACAGACCCTGAGGATTAACTTTTGCTCCTTTCTTCAGTAGTTCTGTCACCACAGAAATGTGTCCTCCTTTACATGCAGCTGTCAATGCATCCATTGTACATATACTTCCACATTGTAAATTAATGTTGGCCCCAGCTTTTAAAAGTTCCCTCACTATAACCAATTCACCACAACTACATGCAGATATCAGAGGGTTATTGAAATCCTTTTTTTGATTGACAATGGCCCCTGATTGCAGCAATATTTGTACTACATTTAGATGTCCATTTTCACATGCAGCTATAAGTGGTAAATTACTTGCAGACTCTAAATTTGTTGAAGCTCCACAAGTAATCAGCTCCTTTACAATACCTGAATATCCACCTTTGCATGCTTTTACTAGTGGTGTATCGAAATTACACTCTAAATTGACATTTGCATCCATTTTGCAAAGTTCTCTCACAACACTCAAATGTCCAGCACTGCATGCTGCTGTCAGTGGTGTATGACTATGACCCAGTTTGTTAACATCAGCTCCTACACCTATCAACTCATTTACAACAGAAACATGACCAAATAAACACGCTGCTACTAGAGGGGTATTTTTTCTAAATAAAATTCCCCTAGAACGCACTGCCCAATGAGAGTAGACATGTGGCGTTCTGTTGATTGAGTAGTTTAAATCGACATGTTTCAGTAAGATCCTAACAGTCTCCACATCGCCCCCATAACAACTGAGAACAAGTAAGCGGGTTTGTTCTACCGCAGAGTTTTGAATGTTTTCCTTTTCATACAAGGATGCAAAGCTAACTTTTAGAGAGTCTGAAACAAGTATTTCATCAAAATCATCTATCACTTTATTTATATCACTAGCATTGGTTCCCTGTTTCGATGTTTGACCAAGATTTATAAGATCAGAATTCAAATTTCCAAATAGTGCAGACGATGTTTCGTTGTGTAGTTCAGTTTGATGTATGATGTACCTAAGGATTTGGTGATGTCCATAGTAAATAACCCAACTGATCACTCTCACATAGCATACTAATGGCATCAAAAACATGTGTCGTCTGTCTAGCAGTAGATCCTCTATACAATCTTTAAACTCGTTGTTCTTTTTCTTATCATTTCCATCTTCTTCCCTTTTGAGTATTTTAGACATTTTCTCCAGTTTACTTAGAAAGAGTTTTTTTAATTCTACATATGTATGTTTCTCTAGTACATTAATAAATGCTTTACACAACTGGTTGTCCTTTAAAGCATTATTCATAAACACGTCATACAGTTCATAATTTTCTATATCTTTGTACAGTCTCTTAGCTAACATTGGATACAGGTTAATAGACACCCTTATACACAGATCTGTACCCTCCCTGTTTTCAGTCTTTTCTTCACTGCTTATATCAGTTGCCTCCACTTTTGTTTCCATGTTTTTCTGTTTTTGTGTTTCACATGTCTGAAGTTTTACATAGTTTGCAATATAACTACTTTTCATATATTCTATAATCAACTCTGGAAACTGTCTACCAAAGTGATATGCTGTTATTTCAAACATGGAGTCATGAACAAAAGTGAACTCTCTACCACGACGTTTTGTGTATGTCCCCTCCATTGCTGACAAAGCTTTCACAAACTTAAATGTATCTGTTGAACTTGTAACTTCACAGCTTTCTAACACCCTGTGCTTCATTTCCCGAAAACATTTATTTTTCTCATCTTTTAGAATGTCTTCAGAAAGCATGTTGTTATACGTTTTGTGTATGTCCCCTCCATTGCTGACAAAGCTTTCACAAACTTAAATGTATCTGTTGAACTTGTAACTTCACAGCTTTCTAACACCCTGTGCTTCATTTCCCGAAACATTTATTTTTCTCATCTTTTAGAATGTCTTCAGAAAGCATGTTGTTATTCAACGTGCACAACACCAAAGTTGCATAGAATAAACCGTTTCTTTGTTGCATTTTGTCGAATTCCTCGACAATGCATTGGATGGGACTGATAAAAAAGCGTTCACCAGTGATTCTAAATTTTTCCTCATTGGAATATAGTTTACACAATAAAGGAAACATGCGAGAGGCTTCAGTAAGCATTGCAGGAGACAACAAATCTCTGTCTAACCCATGCTTTTCAAGAATCTTTCTTTGGTCTTCTTCATTCAATTCATTCTCAGAGCTATGAAGCTTAATAGTATTTTGTGCATTAGTTAAAAAGGATTTGTTGCATTGGTTAAAAAGGGTTTTTCTGCATGTCAAGAGAACCTTTGTTTTCACAAAAGACGGTTTTTTTAATTTTTCCACGTACTCTAAAAACGATTCTAACTTTGCTTTGTTAACACCCAATACACCTACGACATCATTGATAACAAAAACCTGTGGATTCTGAGGATCACAATACTGTGTGAGGTCTCTAAAGTCCAACATAGGTACCACTTCGTATTCTTCCTTCTGGAGAAGAAGAGCTATATGCTGAACTGTGGCGGATTTGCCGGATCCCGGGACACCAACAAAAGTCACATATGGTTGTTCTCTCACCCTCTGTAGCATTTCAGGGAACCCATGAGTTTCAACAAAAACCGAATCTTCTTCTTTCCATTTTTTGATATATTCTGTCTCGTGTTGTGCTAAAAGATATTTAGTTTATTTAATAAAATATTTTTTTATAATATATGCAGAAATACTTTATTTATTTGGAGTTAAACTCTCCACATTTTTCATATTGTTGAACGGTTTAAAATTTCTTTGGCATTTTCTCATAACGATTTTTAAATATATATGTATACAGTATAATATTTTTTCCAAACTATTACATAAAAAAGTGCTGAAAGGTTTGTTTCCATTATTTACTCTTTTGATCTAATAAAATATAATCAGATAACACTTAACTTCAAAGTACAAAATAAAAAGACATATTTCATGGCTAGATGCAATGGTATTGAATAAAAACATGCATATAATCAGAACTAATGTATTAACATACCTTTAACATGTGCAGGGATCACGCAGTGTAGACTTTTAATGTCATCTGAAAAACCAATCCGTCATTATGAAACCATGAAAAATGACTTTTTCTCAATGATTTTTCGAATTTCAGAATAAAAAAAAAATTTGAATACAGAACTGCAAATTTACTGTTATCATTTTTATTTAAAAGAGAACCCTTTACAAAACATTTAAGCAAAAACCATGTTATTTATTTACTGTTTACCGTACTGTTTACCACCATTCAATAGAACCAGAGCCAAATTTCAGATATAAGTAAATCGAAATTAACTAGTTCTGAATTGTAAAACAATAATTTACGGCTAAGAATCTCCCACTTCTAATCAACAATACTTAATACTTACCTGAAAGGTTTTCAACCGTCTTTTGTAATTCGTCAATCACTAAAAGTTTATCGATGTATTTTTTCTCCAACTCTGGATCCATTGAGCATGTTTTGATTTCGTCAACAGAGTCCTGAAGAGACGTGTTTGTTCCAAGGTAACCCTCTAACTCTACAATTATGTAACGAATATTCCTCCATTCTTGTCTAAAATCCGACTCCTTTAAAGAAAAATCTGACGTGTGTCCATAGTATTTGTTCCTAATTAGTCGAATCCTTTCAATGTAAGCAGACACACTTCTATCTCCGGGGTTTGGCTGATTTCCCCATCCCGCTGCATGTTCTGTAACATTGCACACGTTACGTAAAAGTAAATATAGAATTGTGACGTCAAAGTCTGAATAATCTCCGCAATATTGTTTCGTAAAAGGCGGGAAAATGAGATCTGTCTGTTGTTTGGAAAGAGGATTTTTTGCCTTCTGGTTCTTAAGGTGATCTATCCAGGTCCTAACCGTACTTGATAAAGTAGAGGGGGGTATTTCTTTACCGAGAATGTCCCTCAACACATCGGTACAAGGACCCAAGAGAAGTCTAGCCACTCGTGCTAGGTTTGTTGTTTCTGTTGTGGATGTATATTTTGACAGAGACATTGTAGACCTTTTACACCTGGATAAAAAAAGATAATATATTGCGTAAAACCTACTAGTATCACCTCTTTTGATGGAAACATTCTTTTATTTTTTTTAAACAGTCATAAAATAAGTTTATGTAAAACATCACTTAAGGATATGTGAACCTGACGTTTTTGAATCCACCGCGCAACTCGAACTGCGGAAGATGGGAACGGTCAATGTCGTGATCATAGAACATATAATTTTGCTAAAACACAAGTTTAAAGGATTTAACAGCGGTTAAATAGTAAAATATGCCAAATTAATCAACATTGCATGAATTTTATTAATTTTGGCTGTTTGACTGTTCCAACCCCGATAATTTACGACATTACTCCCTAGCCGATTTGCGACGCCATGTTTTGTAGAGAAGGACGCAACGATGCATTTGCAAGGAAAAAAACAGTTTATACGCCGAAAATAGATTATACGGTTATATTTAGACGAAAATATACAGATTGGTGCCGTTCGGTTTCATGTAACAACTGCACAAGCGATGTCACACTCACCCCGAATGCAGTTCCACGATGTACTTCATTGTTTTTCACGTAAGTAAAAGTAGGCCTAAACTAACAGCAGAATAAACATGCACCAAACACATGGATAACCGGAGTTTACCTGACACCTTAATATACATTTATTTATTATTAGGTTGTAATTTATAGCTGTATAGCATCATCGAAATTCAATTTACTCTGTTTCCAGCCGGGATCAACAATGATTCGAATATTAGCCTACAGAAAATTTGCACAATTTTCACATATATATCCAATAAAAATTTTCATGAGGTATTTATTGGATTTACTTTTTGTTTACCAGTGTCAAATTACCAAATTAGGCAAATACTGAAATAGCAATTCGCTGGCCAAGTAACCAAATTACATTATAGACAAATCAGTTTGGCATACTTATATATACATGTATTTACACCATCTCTGTTGGGTTTTCGACGAAATCCTGACTTACGATAGGTTGGAGTCTGTCAAGCTATTAAAGGAGGTAGATTATTTATATCTAGTCAATTGTAAATCAATACAAGGTCGATGTAAAGTTCTTTTGGAACACTTTGAACAACTCAAATTCACAAGCTTAATATTTTTAGTGTTTGCAGTTGGCAAGGTTAAAGTTATACATGTAAGTAGCATAAATAATGAGAGAAACATTTTCTTCTTTACTGAAAACCTATAACACATACTGATTAGTTCATCATTTTAGCACGAAAACAACATTACAAAACTAACACAACGTGATGTCATAATATGTACTATATAAGCATGATGAAGCATGTAGCAGAGAAAAACATTTATAAACCACAGATAATACATAAATGTTTCATTGGTGGGGGTAAATTCGTTGCATACGGTAGTATTTTAGTGACAGAGTGCGGGATGATACCTAGTCAGTAGACTCGGCTCCGCCTCGCCAGGTATAAAATATACTAAGCAGGTATCATTGCATACCCTGTCACTAAAACACTATGTAATTTATAGTCTGTGCAGTGCAAAATTTGTCTTATTTTAAAATGATGTACTATTTAAGATATGACATTAAAGCTGAACATTTCTCTTAAATAGACACTGTCAGACGGTGTATATAAACTGTTTGATTTCGTTACACCCGATTGCACACTCGAAACTCGTGGCCGAGATGTAGTACTCCTATCGTTGTGTTGGATTTTTTGCGTTTATTTCTTGTTTGTATGTGCATTTTCTGTTTGTAAATAATGTATTGACCTGCATATTTCATGATACTTAAGTCCTGTTTCGGAAAAAATGCGTAAAATTTGATATTTTCATCCATATTGAGTAGCACGCTTTGTAAGATATGCGTCTACACTCGTCGGATATCTATAGTGAAATACATTGAACTGACTGGCGATCTGCTCCTTATATACGAGTTGTAGGGAGAGCGTTGAAGAACGGGAAATATGGCGGACTATGCCTATTTACGAGTAGTGTTCAGCTTTAATGTGTAAAATGTTGACCAATTTATTCCTTCAAAATTGAATAATTTTGTGACATATTTGTTATTTGAACAGGTATAGAGAAGGAAAAGAATCAACATATGTCAGCAGTTAAAATCCACCTACTCAACTCTAGATAGCTGTTCCTGTGGATCCAAATGAATGAAAAGATCTCTGTGTGTTGCAAACAATAGAATGGGTAGGAGTGAATGAAAAAATTGTTTTTTAAGATTAAAAAATGAGGAAGTGATCTTCGACATGCATTTGATTCTGATTGTGATTGTGTGAAGGGTGGTATATTTAGTTTCTTGCCTTGATATGGACAGAATATGAAGTGTCAGATTTTTTTTTCCAAGATCACAAGAGACAAATTATGACAGATTATTTTGTTTCATTAAAAATATTATATGTGAGGGGGAGAGCTTCATTGTAGAGAACAATGTACATATTCCAGTGTAAATATTCTAAGGTCAAATTAATTCCAATATCTATTCTCAGAATCAAATGGTCCTCCCTTTACATGTAACTTTTAAATATGATAATAGAAAATCCAGTAGTATAATATTTTGAAATTTCAATAGTCTAGTAGTCAATCCTTATAAATTCATGTATCAGTAACTGCAAAGGCTTCAAATTCATAAACTGATTGACAATAAAGTAACAATTCAAGTTTTAAATAACCCTGGTAGATATTACATGTACTTATTTACATGTTTACTATATATATCCATACACACCATTAAGACATGAAGTTTAAAACTAAAATGAAATTTATTTTCTAGGCTAAGAATGGTATTGTTGTGTCAAAGCCTGAAATTTGCATGGCACAGTTGTTAGAGCAGCTCTCTATTTTCTCAAAGTAAGGAGCACTGTGGAACATGGAGGCCAGTCCTTTGGATGAAACTGCATAAACTGAGATCCCCTTGCAGTAGATGTTGGCATGAAAAAGATCCCTCACAGCTCAACGTCCATAAGTACCGAGTATAGGTATGAAGTTGCAGCCCTCCACCAGCAAGTGGTAGCGTCTTCATATGAGTGAAAAAAATTCTTGAGAGGGACATAACACAAAGCAAAGGCTGAAGTATTTGCTTCAGAAAAGACCTACAACTACAGTGATCATTATTTGAACAAAGTATGTGACAAAAAAAGCTTGCAGTTGAAAGGCAAAGAAAAGAATCAGGGCTCTCACACCCATTTTTGGTACTGGGGCCGGGGCCAATGAAATTGGGAAAAAAGCGATGTTTTTATAAAAAATTGGGAAATTTTTACCAGTCATTATTTAAACTCTTACAATTAACAAGAAAAATCAAATAAACACAGTGTAATTATAGTAACTGAAACGAATCATTATCATCGTCTTCCTCTTAGTAGAAATATTTTTTTTCTACACTGACTTTAATACTGCAGGGATCAAAATTAATTAACTTTTTTTTTTTACCACAAGCAAATATCAGCTAGTGGGTTTATTTTTACTAGCAAATTGTAATATTGAACTATTTAAATGAACTTTCACTAGCATTTTTTCTCCTCATAGTAATTAACATAAGATTTAAATAATTTAAAAAAAATAATTTTATTTCACCTCTTGGAAGCAATTAGGCCGTTTTATAAATGATGAAATCTTAACATCTATACAGAGGTGTGTAATTAAAAAAACTCCATATAAAAAACTCAATCTGATTAAAATCAGATTGATAAAAAACTCATCCTATTTAAAATTTAATCAGTAAATACACTGAAAATATATTTTATGGAAAATCACATAACACTTTTCCTCTATTTGATTAAGTGATCATAAATAATCTAATGGAATATCTAACCTTACATTTACATGTATTTACCATAAACAAAGGAATGGAGGAAATTCGGATTATAAAAAACGATCTTTTTTGGAAGTTAATAAATCAGGTTGTTCTGCAAAATTAATAAGATCCTTAAGATTTACGAATTGTAGGAGCATGCTTAATTTTTGTTCATTGTTAGGGAATCTAATAGCAAAACAGTGAATAAAATACCTGTAGTACTTTTCATTGGTAATCTTAATTTTTAAGACCTTTTTTTACTCGCGAAAAAGGTGGCGACCACAGGTCGCTTTTAACTCCCAATTTCTGTTTTTAATTCGCATATTAAGAGTATTTTCCGTTATTTCGAGCCCTGACATGATAGTTTTTCACATTATGCGGCATGTTGTGAATAAACAAGTCGTACCTAAGAGAATTTGTAATTTACTACAGACGACTTTTGTTTGAGTGACTTTTGTGACCTAGGCTAAACTGGTTCCAGCATATAAACGAAACTACCAGTTCATAACACGAACATGATTCCTTCATATCTTCACAGTGCTTATACGACTGTCAAAGATATGCTCTTTTTACGTACTAAATTTCAAGCAATCATACATTGGGAATTTTTACACTCAAATTTGGGAAAAAGGGGGCCTTTTTCACGTTGGGAACGGGGCCGAATATCGGCCCCAATTAAAGAGAATCGAGAGCCCTGAGAATTCATTATGACAGGAAAGCTAGCTTTTATAGAACACACTGTACATGTAGAAACTTTTGTCAAGGTTAAAAAAATAATTCTGTTTGACAAGAACAAACAGTTCTCTTTTTTGTGTTTTATTTTTAGATGGTGTCCAATATCTCCATACGTTGTACATTCTAATATTAATTACATTGGCAATTAGATCTGTGCCAAAATATGTCATTGTAATGTTAGTTTTATTGTGTGGCCTTTTTCTAACCATGTAAACCTTAGTGCATATAGATTATGAAATTTTTTTATTTTGTTTTTTTTAAATTTTTTATAAAATATTTATTTAAACATGTTACAGCAAAATTCTATTAGTGCAAACACGGAAATAGCAAATCCATGGATATATTTTAGATCCCCAGCTATATAAATTTAACGAATTTGTTACATGGATATAGCGAATTATGGTTATAGCGAAGTAATTTTATAGGTCTTAGTGACTTCATTAAAACAGAGTTTTACTAAATATATTTAAAATTAAACTGAATAATTTCTTTATTGATTTTATAGCAATCATCACATACAAATGTGCTTTAAGAGTCAGATTTTGGAAAAAGGTCGGTGGAAATTCAGATTATTTTATCTTTTTTTAGCTCACCTGAGCCAAAGGCTCAAGTGAGCTTTTCTGATCACAATCTGTCCGTTGTCTGTCGTCGTCGTCGTTGTTGTCGTTGTTGTCGTTGTTGTTGTCGTCGGCGTCGTAAACTTTTCACATTTTCATCTTCTTCTCAAGAACCACTGGGCCAATTTCAACCAAACTTGGCACAAAGTATCCTTGGGTAAAGGGGATTCAAGTTTGTTCAAATGAAGGGCCACGCCCTTTTCCAAGGGGAGATAATCATGAATTTGTTAAAATTTAATGGCATTTTTAAAAAATCTTCTTCTCCAGAACCGCTGGGCCAGGAAAGATGAAACTCATGTGGAAGCATCCTGAGGTAGTGTAGATTCAAGTTTGTTCAAATCATAACCCCCGGGGCAAGGGTGGGGCCAAAATGGCCGACCCAAGTTTTACATAGGAATATATAGGAAAATTCATTAAAAATCTTCTTCTCAAGAACCACTTGGCTAGGAAAAATGAAAATCATGTGGAATCATCCTGAGGTAGTGTAGATTCAAGTTTGTTCAAATCATGACCCCCGGGGCAAGGGTGGGGCCAAAATGGCCGACCCAAGTTTTACATAGGAATACATGTATATAGGAAAAATCTTTAAAAATCTTCTTCTCAAGAACCACTGGGCTAGGAAAAATGAAAATCATGTGGAATCATCCTGAGGTAGTGTAGATTCAAGTTTGTTCAAATCATGACCCCCGGGGCAAGGGTGGGGCCAAAATGGCCGACCCAAGTTTTACATAGGAAGATATAGGAAAAATCTTTAAAAATCTTCTTCTCAAGAACCATTAAGACAGGAAAGATAAAACTCATGTGAAATTATCCTCAGGTAGTGAAGATTCAGGTTTGTTCCAATCATGACTCCTGGGGCTAGGGTGGGGCCAAAATGGCCGACCCAAGTTTTACATAGGAATATATTGGGAAACCAATATATATAAAAAATCTTCTTTTCAAGTACTTCAAAGCCATGATTAGTGATATTTATATGGAATCATCCTAAGGTAGTGTAGATTCTAGTTCAAATCATGAACCCGTGGGGGGTTAAAATTCAAGCCCCCCCCCACCATCAACCACCATCACCTCAGTAAACTTTCAGTTCTGATCTGATATGTGCTTTTTCCTAGCTGACGTGCTCAGGTGAGCGCTGTGGCCCCTGGGCCTCTTGTTTCCAATTCATGTACAAACCAATTTTATACCTCATTCACAAAGATAAACATCACTTCTTTAAACTGGTATTAAAAAACAAAATTTCTTATTAGATCAAGTGGGATTTTATAAGATTTTTACAGTGAAGGTTGAGAAAAAAAAGATAATTTTTAGGAGGCCAGAGGAAATTCAGACTGTAATTATGTGCATACCAGATACTTTATCTTTGAAAAAGAATAAGCATGTATGACTTTTAATTTTATTTTAACACATTATTTACTTAAAATTAAACTGATTAATTTTTTGATTGATATTTTAGCAATTATTGCCGAAAAATGTGCTTTATGGTCAGTTTTTGAAAGAAGGCCAGAGGAAATTCAGATTATCATATCTTTTTATCCAATTCATGTACATACCAATTTTTTCCCTCTTACGCAAAGCTAAACATCACTTCTTTAAAATGGAATTGAAAAACAAAATTTCCAATTATATCAAGTGTGATTTTATAAGATTTTTACAGTGAAGGTTGAGAAAAAATAGGCAATTTTTTAGAGGCCAGAGGAAATTCGGACTGTAATTATGTGTATACCAGATACTTTATCTATGAAAAAGAATAAGCATGTATGACTTTTAATTTTATTTTAACACATTATTTATTTAAAATTAAACTGAATAATTTTTTGATTGATATTTTAGCAATTATTGCCGATAAATGTGCTTTACGGTCAGTTTTTGAGAGAAGGCCAGAGGAAATTCAGATTATCATATCTTTTTATCCAATTCATGTACATGCCAATTTTTCCCCTGTTTCACATAGCTAAACATCACGTCTTTAAAATGAAATTAAAAAATAAAATTTCCAATTATATTAAGTGTGATTTTATAACAATTTTAATAGTCAAGGTTAAGAAAAAATAGGCAATTTTTTAGAGGCCAGAGGAAATTCGGACTGTAATTATTGGCTTATTAATTATTATTTTTATTGGAAAAAATATGAATAGTATGTTTATGCACCAATCTTTCATGTTATAGCAAATAAATTAATTTGAACTGCAATTTATAAGTTTTTTATGACTTTCTTTAATTTTAGTGTAATTTTATATATCGTTTTAAACTTTGAAAACATGGTCATCTTCAGGGACTGTTGCCATGGAAACGAACTCATGTACATATATCAAAATTGTTGTTTTTTGATCAAGGAACTTGTCCTCTATCTGTTGATACCCATTTTATAATTTTCCAATTACTTTTTTGTCAGGTTCACATATCCTTAACCAATTGAAAATGTTTCTATGCAATAACTACGTTTGCCATCTGACATTGTAAAAAAGGGTCAACATTTGGTCAATCAATTGTTAAAGCTGACATGAATTCTTAAAAACGCAACATTTTCATCTATGTACGACTTGTTTTATACCAACTATAGCCGTATTCCGCCATATTTCTTTCAGATACCTTGTCTCATTGTAACGATATATACCCGAAAGCGCTCGTTACAGTTGAATGATTTTTTGGTTTGGGTATCGACTTGTGCACATCTCCGATGGTAAAGCATATGAGAACACATGAGGAAATCAAGACATTTCTAAACCACAATAAGCATAATAATCATATTTCTGAATAATTATTGATTTGAATCAAATGTAATTCAAAAAAGAAAGAAAATGTAAGTTTGAAAGAAAGTTTTAGTTGCACGAGTACGCATTTTTACACTGCGCCAATTTATGCAGAATAAACATGAAATAAAAAAGCACTAAAACGCGTAAACACACTTTGAAATTACTATTATTTGAATAGAACAAAACAACCAGTGTCTTTGATTTGCAGGTTTTATGCAGACTTTGATGCATATCGAGAAAACGCGTCGAACGCTGT